TAAATTTTTTCACATTTTTCACAGAGACAAGACTTGTTAACAATTAAGAGTTTGCTTGATAACGATCACTTGATAAGGAGAAGAACTACAATTTTTCAAAGTTAACTCTGCATGGTAAATTTTGCACGGTCTTTAAGAAAAAGGTGGGGAGTAAGAAAAAAAAGTATTGATTTTTGGACTTCTTAGGTCTTTGTCAAGTCACAGTCAAAAAATAAAAAAAAACTGAGGGTATGAGGGGCACTCGTTGGTGGCTAATTAATGGAATTACCCTATAGTCAGTATACTGCAATAATAGGTAAATAAAGCTTACTACGATTTGTCTGATTTAGCTATAAATTAAAAAAAAAAAAAACCAATATTTCCATAAGTTCCCGAAAGTTTCTAATATTCCCGGAAAGTTTCCGAGAATGTTCGCGGTTTTTGAATGTTTCGGGAATTTTACATCACTAGGCCTAACTAAACCTCAGAAGCTGTCAATTTACAAATGATTAGCAAGATTGAAGAAGTTTTTTCTACCCAAGTACCCACTCTAATCATGGGCGACTTTAACTACCCCAATATGAACTGGAATAACGGCTCGCTAGAAGTTGCTGATAAGAAATCTGAAGAATTTCTAGATATATATCAAGAAATAAACGCATATCAATTAATAACATTTCCAACGAGATTTAAAAACAACAATTCATCTCTTCTTGACCTTCTTCTATGCAATAGAAAAAACTCTGTCTATGACATAAAAGACAATCCACCAGTCGGAAAAAGTGATTGTTTAGTAATTGCAGCCAAATCGCAAATAAAAACAATTATTAAACCAACTCAAAATATACTCAGGCGTAACTTCTGGACTGCAGAGTACATTGGTATTAATAATCACTTGCAAGAACAATTCCAAAATGTCACACCAACTACAATGCCCGCTAACGCTATATACAGTGATATTGAAAATATTTTAAACTCTACAATAGACAAGTTTATTCGAAACGTTTCCGTAAAAGTCAATTCGCAGAAACCATGGATTAATCACTAATCAGCATATCTTCAAGGATATTAATAAAAAGAGAAAGCTTTGGCATAAATATATCAACAACAGAACGGCGGAAAACTATCAGACCTACAGAATTCAATGTAACAAATTAAAGCAAAGAATTGCAGAAGCACGACAGAAATTTGAAAATGGAATAGCAACAAATGGCACATCAGAGCAATTCTTTAAATACGTAACAAGAAGCCTCAACTCTGTATGCAATTTAGCAAAATATTCAGCAGACCCGATCATGAGACCAACTTTGCCAGATGATTTGAGAGTAACTAATGTGTTGGATAGGATAGAATTTACAGAAGAAAAAGTGAACAGGGCTTTTAAGTGAAATGAAGTCAGAATCCAGTCCGGGCCCAGATGGATTTCCAACAATATTCCTGCAAAAGTGCAAAGCCCCTATTGGCAACCATCTTTTAGGATTATTTCAACAATGTATGGATTCGGGAAAAAATCCAGAAATATGGAAACATACAAAGGTGACTCCACTTTATAAGAAGAGTGAAAGACATATCGCAGAAAATTATAGACCCATCAGCTTGACCTGTTATCCTTGCAAATGTCTAGAAAAAATTGTTGCTACTGAAATGACTGAATTCCTACTTACCAACAAAGTTCTACCAAATTCACAACATGGCTTTATTTCAAAGCGTTCAACAATAACGAACCTTCTAAGCTACGTTGATAATTGGACCAAAACTCATGAAAAAAGGCAGACAGATGTAATATACCTGGACTTTGAGAAAGCGTTTGATAAAGTACCTCATTTATTGTTGCTCTACAAGCTTGAATATTTTGGTATAGGAGGCCAGTTTCTTGCTCTAATCAACGACTTTCTCACCAACTGCTTCTATCAGGTGAGGATCAATGGTATTTTGTCCGATAAACGTACGGTTATGAGTGGGGTCCCTCAAGGGCCTGTTTAAGGACCATTACTGTTTCTGGTTTTTGTTAGCGATTTGTCATGGAACATTGAGACAAACATAATTTTTTTTTGCTGATGATACCAAGGTGTTCTGCAATCCATTGTCGCAAAGGAACTGCTTGAATAGGAATCTAAGACGAATTGAGATATGGACGGACCAAAGGTGCATGAGGCTCAATGCATTAAAATGTACAATACTGCATATTGGTCCGAATAATCCACATGAAGCATACTTCCTAAATAATGTTCAGCTTACTAGCGTTGCTGAGCAAACGGATCTGGGCGTGCTGATTGCTTATGATTTGAAATGGGAGCCCTATATAAATAGGATAGTGAAAAAGGCCAATAGTTTTATTTTCATGGTGCAAAAGACTTTCAAGATAACTCTCTTCAGATCGTGAGGAAGTTGTACACCTCCTATATCAGATCAAAAATCGAGTATGCTTATAGTATTTGGAACCCCTACTACATGAAAGAAATTGACATTTTGGAAAGGGTTCAAAGACGGCTTGCCAGAATTCCATTCGAGTTGAGAGGACTGACCTATCCTGAGAGACTGAAAATATTTGGGCTAACTACTTTGAAGCAAAGAAGAACTAGGGGTGATCTGATATAAACCTTTGAAATTCTGTCAGGCTTGTGGCTTGGGAACTTTGTTTCGTTTCAATCGGAACCAGCAGCTGCGCGGACACTCAAAAAAATTAAGCAAGGAAAGATCAGCATCACTTCCAAGAAAGAATTTCCTCACCAATCGGATTGTGTACATGTGGAACTGACTTGAAGAAAGTAGAGTATCCGCAAATAGTGTAAACTCTTCTAAAAACTGTGTTGACCGTTATTTAGAGCAAACAGCCCAGAATTTTGTACATTATGGTGCCTGAAAGGGTTCACTGAATTTTTGTTTTTCTTTTTTCGAAATGTATTCGAATTTGTGAGGTATCCACCATAACAATGTGCTCCATAATCACGACGAACAATCATAATTAAGTATAGAGACTAGAACAATAGCTTCATCGGATTTTCCGCTTGCTATTCGCATATACCGAAAGATTCGTCCATTAGGGCCAGTTTCATAAACAGCGGTAACCACAACACACTGGTAACCCACAATATGCCTGTTTCATGTGTGTTTGAGCCAAAAACATTGGTCAACCATCAAAAAACTTAAGTCAATCCTCATTTTGCGAACTTGTGGTTAACCCGCAACTATTAGTTTGATAACCATTGCAGGCTACCACCAATTGTGAAACTGGGTCTTAGAGAACTAGCGATACCAGAAGAAGCTCATTAGTTTTTGGCAAGCTCTAGAAAGAAAGAAATAAGACATACAAGCACGATTTTAAAAGTATTTTTGAAAAAAGAGCCATCTTTAAAATGAAATTTGAAATGTTTGGTAATAAAGTTCAATGGATAATTGTTAACAAGTTTTTTATTTTTGCAATATTGGCATAGCAAAATTTACGGTCGGTACTCGGGTCGGTATACAGAGTAATTCTGTAACCGTTCTTGAGACGGTTTTTCGGCGGGTTGAAACAGAACTAATGCCACCGCTATTTCTTTGCTAATAATTTTAATTTTGGTACAGTAAGAAAAATCTTGTCGGCAGGTTTTAACACATTGAATTATAATAATCTGGAGAGAAAAAGCAAACCATTCATAAAATATCCGAAATCCTCCACATAACATCAATAAAGCATAAGAATGGTTTAATCTAGAGTGCAAGTTTATTTTACAAATAACTAGCTGACTTCGTACCGCCTCAGAATCAATAAATGTTGTATCAACGTATTACTTACTTACTTAGGCGCAGAAGATCTGTTTGATGAGCTCGGCGGTTTCCCAGTGCCACCCTTTCTGTTTGACGTCTTGCCTCTCTTTGTTCTTCTTTTTGCGAAGCACGGATTCGAGCCATATAAAGGCGGTTATGTTCTCGTGCTACTTCTTGTTGACGTGCAGTATATTGATTCCTAATATTCCGACATCTAATTGCATTTCGGCTTCGTTGTGAAAGATTAGATCTTTTGGGACGCGGCATTGTAGATAACACTGTGAAGTTAGGCCATTCAAAATAACATACACATAACTTCATAATGTGAACATTTCTTACCGCATGAAATTCACGATCGAAACTAGAATCCACAAAATTAGAAAGTCAAACACAGTTCAAAAGTACCGATTGAAATTAATTATCGATGCGCGCACAATAACATAAACATAACCTATCACAATGTACCATCGTCACCAAAAGTAACTGGGACAGCAACATATTAGCTCTTGAACTATTATATGACTTTTAGTGTCAAATACTTGTTTGTCAAACTATGAATAAAATGAATGATGGTAGAAATAGTCCAGGAGATTATTATGAATTATTTTTGTACCAGATACTTTTGGTGACGATGGTACCTAAGCAATGTACACTTTCTTTTCAAGGTCGAAAACTGAATAAAGGTTTCTATCTGGTATCATAGATAGCGTCGCATACAAAATGGTAAAACAGAACTGCTCCAAAGAGTTCAAATCGTTTCGAACACTGCTCTTACTGCACTACTCTATCTATCCGGAATAGTTTTTTTCAGAGTAGTCTCTGTTCAGCGCAGCCCTGTTTCACTCTATCAGATCAGCACTGCATGCACTGCACTACTCCATCTGTTCTACTCTTTCTGCACCACTCTATCTGATCGGAATAGTGGAATAGTTCAGTTCGGAATAGCTCCAGTTATTCGGGACAAAGACAAATCCAATAAAGCAAAAATTATAAAAATTAGTCCAGCCGTTCTTGAGTTATAAGTAGTGGAATCAACCCAACTGTGTTTTATATATATAGATGTAATACATTCTGCTCAAGTGAGTAGACCTCCATTTGCATGGAATTTCGTTATTGCAATTTGTGTTGTTCGGAAACCTTAACTCAACTTACAAGAACAATGATTTCGCGCTTCTTTACCCACGCTTATTATCATTGAAACATGTGACTATAATAATAAATAGTATAATTTGGTAAAATCTATATTATGTTCCTAAACAAAATAACAACATTTATTCACTTACATTTTAAACGAGGAGGAAACACCGCCAAAAGACAAAGATGCCGATTCAGTTTCTTCATCAGAACTTAAAAAAAAAAATGTTATCAAAATTAATTACATATATTTCACAAAGAAAACTTACCCCTGCTGCGGCTCAAAAACGTTCGAGTTAACTAAGAGAGGTTGCGCATCAGCGTTTAAGTATTTTATGCCATTTCTTTTGTAATGGAAATCACTTTTATGAAAATGTCTAGAGCAAATGTATGAATATTTTGGTAGGACCTTCTCTTTTGGAAATCCAAGAAGAGCACTCCAAATTTGTCTTCTCACCGGATCTCGGGGAATGCTGGAATACATTTTGTTTATTTGACCAAATTCATGCCGATTTCACAAAAGTATGAGCATTTTTTTCAGGAACACATCTTTTGAAATTTGAATGAACTTTACCTAAATATAGTTTTTATAGGCAGGTATCTGACAGAAATATCCCTTAAAGATTCTGGAGGACTCCAGCATACTCAAACTCAACTCAAACTATTATTATTGTTATTATTTTTTAGGGTAAATGTTAATCATCAAAACACAAAAAAGCCTTGAAACTTGATAAATTCTTATTACAGGCTAAAATAATTGCCAACAATGAAGAGGGAGCTAGGATACTTACAGATGATAAGTAACATCCAAACCATGATGATCCAGTTTTTTGCATACTTGGCAACTCTTGGACATCTTTCCAAAGTTTACACACAAAATAATGTCACACTCGAAAAATCGCACAGACTAAAGCAATCTACCGGCATCGCATGTGGAAAATACTCGGGAAAATATAAAGGTATTAACAAAAGTGATGGTGATAATGATGGAAAGAGAGTCAAAGAGAGCTAAAACTTGTTTAGGAACTATTCTGCCTATCTGTGATAATATGTCATTGCGGTTCATTTTATCCATAATATCAGTTATTTCTTCTTTTGTTATACCTAATGCCTTTGAAAAATAATTAATTGAGAATAATGTTTGCATCTTCTTCTAATAGCATATTGTGCGTGCATATCAGCTCAGAATTTATGGTTTTCGAAGTGTTGTCTTGTGTTAATCTATTTGAGTTTGGTATTGAGAGGAGGAGAAAATTGTCTGCTGTTAGGAAGATCTTATGGAAACATCTTTTCTTTTTAGGAAAATTCTGTATTTCCAATCCTAGGTTTCAAGGTGAATGAACTTTATTAAAAAAAAGTAGCAATAATTTGAGTTCATTATCAACATAATTTGCATATTTACAACAATTGTTCATTGAATCATTGATTGTGGGGTCAATAGCTGTTTGTGGATTCTTGGGTCAACTGTTCGTTGATTATTGTCAGACTCTGTGGCTGAATTGAGCCTTGAGTAGGCTGCTAACTGATGACTGGAGTATGTAAATGTTTTTCAGCATGCATTTTCAAAGAACCACCGAAGGAAAGTGAGGAACTATTTGGTGGTTTAAGTGACAAATGCAAGAACGTGTTAACTGCGAAAAATGGTCACTCGCTGAAGTTCGATTTACTGCACCAATAACAAGAAGAGTACCCTTTTTATGTAGATCGTGTGCTGATGATGAAGATCTTGATAATTGGCGCGTGGAGATGATTTTTCAAGAAAACAAGAGGCTTAGCGTTTTTATTAAAGAATTGGAAGAGAAGAATGAAGAAATCACCGATCAGTTCCAAATTCAGATTAACAATCTGAATGACGGTTTGAAGGACAGAGAGCTTGAGATTCAAAGGTTAAGAAAAAATACCGTGGATTTTCATGATGATGCTTTTATATGGTAGAAAATACACTAGAGACAGAGAATAAAATGCTAAAAAACTCCGTAAGTCTCTTCAACAAGAAAAATCTAAATTTGACCGAGGAAAACATGAGATTCAAGAAAAGAGTTCTGACTGCTGTTAATGAAACCAAGATAAACCTGTTGGAGCAGTCTCTATCATCATCTGAAAAAAAAAAACATTTGGAAGAACTAGGAAAGCTTAACCTTTGCAGAGCAAAGTTAGAGGAAAAAATAGTAATGTAGAACATCAAATCGAGTCAGTTATTGAATAATATTGGGAATCTCGAGCTTGAACTGTCTACTCCCATCATAGTGAATAAAACTTTAGATCAAAAGGTTCAAGATTTAGAAAGGAATCAACAAAGTAATATTGATGAGCAAGGAAGTCAAAATGGCATAATTAAGAAGCTGAATGATCAAGCAAATTTGTTCAAGAATAAAAAATTTAAACAACCACAGCAAGTGCTTCTGGAAAAAATCTCTAGATTGGAAGTTTTAAACAGCGACCATATAAAAATGATAAAGGATCTGGAGATAGAAAATATCGACTTGTTGGATCAATTAGTATTGAATATTCCCACAAATGAAACTAGCAAGTGTATAGAATTTTTAATACCTATTTGGAAGTACCAGTCGTTCTAGTAACTTAACGTATGTCGGTTCTTGAACACAGAAATAAAATTAGGTTAGGAATTTCCTATTTGTACAGGGTGGTCATTTTATCTTGATAACATTTCAAACTGTCCTAATTTTTTTATTTTTGAAGTTTTCTAAATAAATAAAAAAACATACTGTAGGGTTGTTCTCCAAGTTTTAGATAGGGTGGACCGAGGGGTGGACAAAAAACAAAAGACTAAAATATTTTGACAGTTATGCACACAATTAGCATTTTTTCAAATGGAACACCCGGTAAATTTTTAGTTTGTTTGATAATATGTTTCATTCTGATTGCACTATATACAATACAATACAATTGAATACAATTTACTTCATATTCACATGCAGAAATGTTTTATTTATTCTAATGGGAAATTCTGTCTACCTACATACCTTTGCAGGTAATCTGTGTAGGTAATCAATATTTTCAGTTAGAATAAATAAAACATTTCTGCATGTAAATATAAAGTGAATTGTATTCCAGTGTAGTGTATCGTATTGTATACATTGCAATCAGAATAAAACATATTATCAAACAAACTGGAAATTTAGTGGGTGTTCCATTCCATTGGAAAGCAACCCTACAGTATGTTTTTTTATTTATTTGAAGAACTTTAAAAATAAAGATATAATGACAGTTTAAAATGTTATCAAGATAAAATGACTACACTGTACATGAAATTGACGTCATAGAAAAGTGATTTATAAATTCTAAATAGAAGTCTGGAGTACCTCAAGGGTCTCATTTGGGTCCAATTCTTTTCCTAGCTTTTATAGATGATGTCAACGATTCAGAGCTCGATTCAGAGTCATTGAGTTTTGCAGATGATAAGAAGGTGTATAAAATTATCAATATGTAAGCCGATTGTAGTGCTTTAAAGAAAAATATAGATAATTTGGTTAATTGGTGCGGATTGGACAGGCTCGAGTTAAACATTGATTAATGCAAAGTGATAAACTTTTTCTAGAAAGCTAAACACTACCAACTTTAATTATCACATAAATGGGCAACAAATATCTAGTCAGCATCATACGGGGTTTAGGAGTAGTGTTTAAATCCACTTAGGTTTTTATTGTATAAATTAAACATAAGTAGAAATAATTCAATTTACGAAGATAGGGTAAAAACTCTCGGTGTAGAAAGCTTGGAAACAAGAAAAAATTTGCTTTCCTTAGCATTTAATGTTCTATTGAGTATGCTTAACTTTAAGGTTCCAATGTATTGAACTAAATCAAACCACATGTTTTACAAAAATAAAAGTCGTACTAACAGTGATAAAAATAGTGTCAGCAACCGATGACAGGTATATTCCTCTCGATTTGCAAACCGGCAACTTTTAAGCTTAGACTTAAGCGAATATTGAATGCTAATTTTGGAAATGTTAAGTTGTGTCTTGAGTGTTCAATGTTCCGAATTTGTTTTCTCCGTTTTATCTTGTATCCATTATGCCTTAAGATATATTGCAAATGATAGATACTAGGTATCCATGTACTAATTACTGCAGGAGTTTATTAATTAAAATAATGTTTGTTTGTTTTTGAGTTTGCATTTTTACTTTTTTGTACTTTAACGTTATTTATATGATTTTTGGCTTTTATTTCGGGTTGTGACGGAACTAGCTATTACCCTTTTGTGGACTCTAGTCATTACCGCACCAGGGATGTCAAAAGTTTTTACTTTGACTGACTGTAAAAATTAACCATTAGGTGTTGGATCATTTAAGCCTTGTATTGAACTAGGGGTGCCTTGATTCTCATTTATACAAATAAACGCTGAAATAGAATAGTTATCAATTTAATTAATAAATGAAGTTAATTCGGTTTAATCAGCAATCAAATCCTATCTAATAATTCCTATTTGGACGTCCAGTCGAACTACAAATTTTATACTAATCTAAAGTAAATAAGCGAGTAAATAAGTATCTTGATTTATAAAAAATAGTGAAATTTCATAATAATAATATCATTTATGGTTGAATGTTCAAAGAACGAGAACACAAATTAACTAATTTAAATTTACGAGAGCACAACACAAATAATTCGTGAACTTCAATCAGCTCACTGTATTCACAAAATGTTTATAATCCTTGAAGGTTCTTTTGTTTATTGAGAGTTAATAATTTGAGCACTTTTCTGCTGAAGTGTGTAAACAATAAGTGCAAGAAAAGTCTATATATATATGCTCAGTTTCTATATACAAATTTACAAATTAATGTTCATTTCACGAGTGTGAAAACCAAATTTCTGTATTAAAGGTTAGAACAAACACTTCAATTTATAGTGCATTTCAACCGAATCGGTATTCAGTATTTATTAATTTATTGTTCGACTGTTTTGAGAAATTGAAACGGTCTTACTTGCTTAATCCAGTTCATACCGGTAAATCCATATAGTGATTATTTATCCATTTATCACTATTCGTAGTAATTTGCACTGTCAGCTAAGGGATTTTCCACTAAGAGAGAGAACACAATGATATACAGAGTTGAAGCCCGTCGAGAGTGAGACAGGAATAACCTTAAACAGGCGTAGTAGAGAATTTTGCTAGGTCCGAGATGACTTGCAACAATTTAGGGGTTAATTACATGAATTGTAATCAATAATATCGTTGATAATATAGGCCATGTCAGGCCTTGAGACACTGGGAGTAGTATTTTACTATAATTCGCGTACTAACGGGGGTTTTCTGGGGGTTTTTTTCCTCTGTAGAGCGTTCAGAGGCGAGAGGGTGCAGAGTCTTTGCTTACTCTTCTGCTTCTTGATTACTACTGTTGTGTACCGTGCGTCGAGTCGACTGCCTTTTTCGGAGCAGGTCGCATAAATCAGGGATGTTGGGTGGCAACTGACCAATCACAACAACAAAATAGATCCATTGCTCATAGGGTAATGAAGAAATCTGTAATTTTACCGATTCAAAAGGGCTGCTGTTGCCAGTTTTACAGGATTCTTTTTTTAGAATATTATTTTTATGATAAATAATAGAAATTGAGATTATATTGATAAACTACAAATAATAACATTTTAAACTTGTTGTGGGTTATTTCCGCAACATATTCCCCCCCTTGAAGTTTCCAAACTTCAATGAGAGACGAAACATTAACAAAAAAAATAAACAACATATTTACAATAGAGAAAGTAGCAGGTTTTAATCCTGAATTGGTAAAGGACATACCTTTGCTATTCCTCGAGTAAAAACACCACTTTGTGTTTTCAATTTTACCACTCTGGTTTTATTGTCTCGTCCAGGGAATACCTCTAAGACTCTGGCTAAAGGCCATCTTAGAGGTGGAGTGTCATCTTCCTTTAAAAGTACTAATGTATT